TTTTTTTTAAAAAAGACTTGGGTTTAAAGCATGAAGGACAGTGCAGAAGAAAATAACATTCTCTGTTTCCTGTGGGGAATATCAAGTACCTCAGGTTGATATTTCAATTTCAGCTACAGAATTTTCTTCTGGAAGAACATTGTCTGCTAATTAAATGAAGTCTAGCCAGTCATTCAGGGATATTTCTGACATAATGAAATCTTTCCCCAGACTCCCATATCTTATGGTGCTTGCTGCATATATGGTGTCCTCCTACAGTGCTTAATCTGAGCTGAACATAAAATTCTCTTATCAGATTCAAATACTGTATTCTCAGTTTACTAGATGCAGTATTACATCTTCTACAAAAGCATTGCAGCATCTGTCATCTCTAGTATTTCTTAACAGTGATGAGGATGTGAAGCATCTTCAATAGTTCTAATAAGAAGGTCAGGGAAGACACAACATTTGCTTTCCTCAACCCAGGGAAGCGAAGTAAACTCAAAAGACCTGCCTCTGTTTAACTCCCCATTCCTCCACCACCCCACCCCACCTCCACCCCCTAAAACCCCCACAAAATGCAAACAAACCAAATCAAAACAAACAAACAGAAAACCCCAGTGGGACGGGTGACACTGAACAGTGCAATAGCAGTGGTACTTGGAAACTGAAAGCTCTGACAGCTGCTCCATATCACAGTTCTGCAAAATGAAATCCTGGTTTAGAGAGGCGACTACCACTTTAAGGCAGATTTTCTGCTTTCTTTTGTATTTTGCAAACATGCTGGAACAAAGTTACACAGTAGATACCAAAAGAAATCAAGTTACTGGTGGACTGAAGAGTTAGTTCTCAAACGCATATTGGCATTGAATATGTGAATTACAGGAATATGTGAATTTCTGTCAAAGATAGAGAGCGTCTCTTGTGCAGTGCTTTAAGCATGCTTCCATTTGAAGCAGCAGAGATGCAGTCTGAAATTATACGTGTATCTTTAGGGTATGTTATTTTCTAGTTGTAGCATTACACTCTTTTCTTAGCCAAATGCTTCAAGCCCTTGTTTAATTAGTGCCTGTTGTCTAATGAAGTGTTGCTGGCTGAACTAGCAAGCCAGTGTTGTCGTTGGAATCACTTTTGTCTTTCTTGCGTGTAACCTTTTGTGTACCTCTCTTCTTACAGTGGATAGCTTTGAAATACCCCAACATTGCAATATATGTGGATACATGTCGAGAATGCTATGAAGCTTATGTCATCTATAATTTTATGGTTTTTCTTTCAAACTATCTAACCAACCGGTATCCAAACCTCGTATTAATAATAGAAGCGAAAGATCAGCAGAGACATCTGCCGCCTCTGTGCTGCTGTCCGTCGTGGGCTATGGGAGAGTGAGTATACGATGACATCTCAAAATTTCAAGCTGCGTAATCAGATATGAACATTTTGTTTTCGTATTTAGTAGTAAGGCTGTTGTTGCTTGGCAGAGTGAGTTTACGGTTTCCACACATTTTGTTTGTCAGCTATGAAGCCCTACTGAAAGCAGCTGTGACTATGTTTTTGTCTAGTTGTACAACATCCTATAAATTGCACATAGTTACTAATGTGGATTAACTCAGGAGGTGCTGTAGAAAACTTCCTTATTTTTGAAAAATATTGGAAAAAGGTCTCTTTGAATTTGCTTCCTTTGCTCTCACATAATATTTGCCAAAAGCCTTCTGTAGAATTGCTGGTAGAGGAGAAAGTCTATTGCTTCTACTTCCACAGGTGAAGGATGAAAGGCGATACACTCCTGAACTCTCTGTTCTGCATGCTTAATCTGATAATGCATCTCTCTTAAGAGATTTTGATAAAGCTATTTAAAATATTAAAGACAAACTATGAACTTAGGTCATCCTTCAAACACAGTGAAAATTGCATTCTCTTTGTTTAGCCCAGCCAGAAGCTTTCCATGGCTAAAAGAAGTAAATCACCAAGTATTTCATGTTATGTATCTATAAAAGTCTAGGTCTTTTGTGTATTGCATATATACACACACTATATACTGTAGCATCTGATGCCCTGGATGCAGAAATTGAAGCTACCATGAAACAGAAATTTAGTTTAGTGAAACTACTGAGAGCAGGAAACTTCCGTAAGTGATTAGTCTTTAATGTCTTGTACAATGAATTTTGTGTTTCTCTTGCAGAGTTTTATTATTTAGATGTAAACTGGGTGTTTTGCAGTACACTGTTGTCAGACCATTTACTACCATTATTGCTTTGTAAGTATGCTCATAAATATTTAATATTGATCTTCAGGATGTAATTTTGAGTTACATGGAAAGAATTTTCATAGCCTTTGTATTGAATCAAGGCTGTTTGAAAGCAGACTTGTCATGTTACATGCTAAATGAGTCCCAGCAATTTGAATGAACCTATGATTTCTTTATGACTTTTCTATAGCAAGTGACTATTTGCAGAATTGAAATAGTAAATCCTTAATGCCTACTGCTGAAAGCAGTGGGAGAGAATGTGAAGTACTCTTTATGTAGGGTAGGGAAAAATGTTTTTATGATCTCTTAGAGTCTTTTTCCTCCTCCCTTTTCTTATTGGCTTCAACAATTGGGGGTTTTTAAAAGTTACATGAAACCTGACTTTAAAATTTTATTAAACTTTGCATGTAACAAACCTGACTCTGTGCCTTCATACATAGGATAACCTGTTGTAAAGGAATAGCAGGCAGTTAGGCATGTTGATGCTGAAAGCCTAATTCCATGCACTTTGTATTGATGGTCGTTACTGTTAATTCTGTGGGCCTATAGAAACACTTGCTACTTGCAAAGAATATCCATATAAATATTTGTATTAGCTGTATGTGCTCTAGCAGTTAGAAGCAAAACATTTTAAAAAATGTTTAACTGTTGAATTCTGTCAACAATGGGTTATGTTAACCCTGCATTCACTTATTTCTTCTATTGAAACTACAATATTAACTTATACACCATAAGCTGTTGGAAACATTCTTGTGCAGATCCCCCAGTGCCCCCATTTGAGTATCAAGAGATTTTGAATTCTTAGAGATGATTAATGTAATGAAAATGTAGCACTTCAAAAAAGCGATCTTTTACTACATGGTGGTTAACTCAAAAAATTCTTTCAGAATTTGTGAACTAGTGGGAGTGTACGATGAAGGAAACTTCAGCTTCAACAATGCTTGGACTTACTTGGTTATACTTAACAACATGTCACAGCTAGTGAGTATCAAGAATACATTTTTCTGCTCTTTTAAGTCATCGTATTAGTATTATGCAAATCCTCTATGCAAACTATTGACAGTAATTGTGTTAATGCATTTAAATTCTTATGGGTAGAATATTTCCAACTGGGAGTCAAGGTTACTACCTGTTAAATACTGCGTGTGCAAAATACTAGGAAAACAGATGTTTGAAAACTTACTATTTTTACCATGAAGGTCCATAAAGCAATGAAGTCTCCCACCTCTTTAGCCCAAGCCATTCCATGGGAGAAGTGGTATGGCCTACTCATGTTAGAGCTGCAGACCTGCCCCTTTGCCCAAGAGATGACTTCCTTCACCCCCCTTAGCTTCCTGTGAGCACACAGACAAAGAATCAGCAGTGGCTGTGTTAAAAATACTGAGTTACAAAGTGAGTGGTAACAACATTGACAGGAAAAAAATGGAAAAGGTGCATGCAGTGCTGAGATTCTGCTCTGCCTGACACCTTGTCTTGTTGTTTGAGCTGCCCAGATGATGTCAGGTTAACGTATCAGCCCTTAGACTTGAAAGTTTGATTTTAGAAGTCAGGGATTGCATTTAGTGGCTTGCTGGGAATGCAGAGGAGTCATTTTCTGCTTCACCCAGGGCACGTCACACATGAGCTATTGCAAGAGGAGAGAGCAGCAGCTCTGGCCTCTTGCTCCTTAGCCTTCTAGCCTCCAAGTTTCTTAGTTTGCTTGACAACAGCAGCAGGAGTCAGAACAACATGGCATCCCATCCAAAAGGGGCATTCTCCTTGTCCTCCTGCTGCCCCTGTGTTTGATGGGAACTGTTAGGAAAGGAGCTGTCACTGCTTTCTGCTGTGACAACAGTCCCAGCAGCAGCACATATTTCTGCATGTCCTGGTTGCGTGATTGCTGAAAGTAACTTCGTAGTAAAGGCTAGGAGGAGGTGTATGAAGAGGGGAGATCAATTCCTTAGGTTTGACTATACATGAGTTCGGTTGCTTTCAGTTGTCATTAGTAAGAACTCCTTCGGATTTGCATTCATTGTCTTGTCTCTCATCAAGGGGCAATATTTGAGGTGTTCTTAACAGAAGCCTGAAGGAACATGGGCTGTTCACGCCATTTTCCCTAGACATGTGCTTGATATTGAAGAGACTTTATGGGACCTTCCTATGCTTTGCTTTAGTGTGTAGATAGATGACTTCAGTCTCTGTTTGCCAATACCGTGCATTTCAGAAATATAATTTCTGAAAACAGTAAGGTGAAGATTCCATAAATCCAGAGCCTCTTTTCTAAAATAGTTTTTTAAGTTCGTATCTTACTCTGATATATTTCTGAACTGAAGACATGCTGTGAAACAACTCCCTCACAAAATAAACAAGGATTTGAAGGCTTTTTTTTTATTTTATTTCCTTTAGTTTGCTATGTATTGTCTGGTGCTGTTCTATAAAGTACTACGTGAAGAACTGAACCCTATCCAGCCTGTTGGCAAGTTCCTTTGTGTGAAGATGGTAGTTTTTGTTTCTTTCTGGTAAGTGAATTATTTACTCGTTACTTCTTGTTCTCAGGGTGGATTAAAAGGCTGGATTTGTTACTGAGGTGACAAAAAATTCTACCTATAGTAAAGTGCTGCAACGGGAAAAGTGTACTAGTAGTTGGACAGACCAGTCTTGTTAACTTGTGATTATTTTTCAGGCTTGCTGTTTTGTGATTCTCAAGAACATAATTTATTTGAGAATCTTCACTTGCAGTTATTTAAAAGCAAAAATTATTTTTTTTACTTTTTAAAGAAAAGAAAAAGCTTTTTCAAAATTACTGTAAGCTAATTATTTAATTAAATTACTATTTAAGCATTATTCACCCTTAACTGCTAATAAGCAAGTGCATTTGACTATCTGAATGTTACTCTGTGGGCTACACAGTAATACCCTGAAAGAGAAGCAACTTGTTCTAACAACTAACTGGAACAACAAACTTTTCTTTGGTTGTGTTCTCTGTTGATCTTTAGGACCATGGATGTAGTAAGTCTGTTTTATTCTTAAAATGTAAATATGTAAACAGTAATTTTTTGAAGGATTCTTCCTATACACATACGTACGTACCCAGACAGATCCAGTTTACCAGATCTGCTTGCTTTACAGGCAAGCTGTGCTTATTGCATTGTTGGTAAAAGTTGGAGTTATTTCTGAGAAACACACCTGGGAATGGCAAAGTGTGGAAGCTGTGGCTACGGGCCTACAGGTAGGAGCAGACATGTACTTCTTAAGAAGAATGGCTCTATGTAAGATGACATCCCCGTTTGGTCCCCGTGGCTAGTTGAGAGGCGTCCCTGCCCATGACAGGGAGGTAGGATTAAATGATCTCTCAGGTCTAGGCCATTCTGTGATTCTATGACAGCTGATTGCAAGCAAATATTGTCACACTTTAATTAACACAGGCTAGATTAATACTGAATATATTCTAAGTTGGGCGAAGTTTCAGCCCGTCACCCCAAGTGAGTTTTATGCTCAGTCCTTCTCTATCCGTGTGTTAGGCAGAAGGAATGTGCCCCAGTTAAGTACTTGTTGGATATCCTTGCATTTCTTCTTGCAAGAATTTATTGTAGAGTTGGTGCTTGCTGAATATCTGCTTCCAGCAAGTCAGCCCTTCAGGCAGGGACTGATTCCAAGATGTACGTAGTCCACGTAGTCCACATCGTGCTCTGGAGCCTGCCAAGAATATCCTACCTCTGGTGGAAAAGTAGCTGACACCAGTATCCCAAGGCAGTTGCAGTCTGTCAGTTGTAGGAGAAACCCAGGAACTGGTTTTCTCCAGTTATAAATTAAGTTGGTATCTCTCTCGTTGCAGGATTTTATCATTTGTGTTGAGATGTTCCTGGCTGCTATTGCGCATCACTACAGTTTTTCCTATAAACCATACGTTCAAGAAGCTGAAGAAGGGTCATGCTTCGACTCTTTTCTTGCCATGTGGGATATTTCTGATTTAAGGGCAGATATATCGGAACAGGTTCGAAATGTTGGTAAGTAACAGCTTCGTATGATCTGCTAACAGCATGTGTATTTCCAGCTTTATTATCTATCTCTATAGTACATCGAGAACATTCCATAGCACATCAGTGGCAGCTGTATCCCTAGAGGATTTCATGGTTTGTCTCGTACTTTACTGGAAAGACCACTCCTGATTTTAGAGTCTAGTTCTTTTAAATAGACAGATCCCAAAGTAAGTTTCAGGTGTGTTAGGTACAAGAGAGAAATGTGGGGTTTAGTATGGTTTTTTTTGGTGTGTCTGTGGTTTTTAAATCAAAAGACATTCTTTTATTTATTAAGGCTAACAATATCTGTGTAAATCTGTTATAAAACAAAGACTTATCTTCTAATTTAACATACCTATTTAAGAGTTGATAGATTCAAAGGCCTTGGTATATTTCCTGAAGTATTAAAAAGTATTTTCATTTGGTGTAATTCTAGGAAGGACAGTTTTGGGCCAGCCAAGAAAAATGTTTTTTCCAGAGGATCATGAACAAAATGAGCATACGAGTTTACTGTCTTCATCTACTCAAGACCCAATTTCTGATGCTTCTTCAATGCCATCTTCGCCCATGGGTCATTATCAGGGGTTTGGACACACTGTGACACCTCTCACAACACCAACAACAGTCCCTGCAGTTGATGGTATTTATAACGCTCCAGCTATTCGAGACGCTGAGGAGTCACCCAAACTAGTGCACAACTTATCAGAGAAAGCTTTGGATAAAAGTTAGACTCACCTTCTCTTTGAAGGAGCCTGTTAAAAAATTCCCACACATGTTCTATTAACATGTCCTATTAGTGATGAAAGTTGAAAAGCTGGGAAAAGCTACTGTGCAGACAGGAAGAGGCTATGGCTGTAACTGACTTTGGAATTCTGAATCTCTAACAGATGTGAGTATCTGTGAGGACCCCACGACTATGAAACACGCACACTGGAAAAGTTTCTGCATTAAATTTAAGAATCAACTCCTTAAACTGCTAAAAACTTACAGATGATGTCAAAATTACAACAACTTCTATTAATACAAAAGAAACATTTGAGAAAATGCTCTGCTCTTCTTACGGTGAAGTGTGAGTACCACTAGCAATGGGAAAACTTAAATTTCAAGAATGTAATTTAAGGAGGGCAGCAGCAAACAATGTCTTAGGTTTGGTTGTCCTCTGGCTCACAGCAACTTCCGCACCCCCCTGCTGAATGGAGTGTGGACAAAATGGTAACTTGTGTACAGATGCCATCATCTACCTTTTCCTGCATAGCTAAATAAAACCCCTTCATGAAGATAACAGAGCATCAGTAAAGAATCTGTACAAAGAAAGCATTCCCTACAGGCCTCACTCTAAAATTCCATGCCCAGAACATATTGTTGGTGTATCTGTTGTCCTTGTAGCTCATAATTTTAAGTCTTCTACATTCAGAAGAGACAGCCAGGATGATAGGTTCTGAATTACACTTACACTTAAATTACTGTACACTTGACTACTTTGTTCCTGTCCTTCTAAAAATAAAGATAATGGTTATTACCTTAAAGTACATGGAGGAGGAAGGACTAAAGGATGTCAAAAAGGAAGTAGAAAACAAAACTGATTTATTTATTTTGGGCTGCAATAAATTCTTTAACGGTTATGGTTTTTTAAGCTGTTAAAGCAGGATATCTTGACAAAGTGTCTGTAGTAATTTGTATTCATAAATTTGTGTGTGTGATTATTGTATTATGCTTCTAGTATAGCCTGGATTCAAATGTAATAGTTGATTTTTCTCTCACCACCCCAGAAGACACCTTTGCTGTGGTAAAACTCATCTACTGCTGGAGCTACTAGCATTAGATTTCAGACCATGAAGAATTAAGTACACTTGTACAAAAATGTTATTTTGCAATAACTGACAAAATCAGAGGGGTACTGTTTTTATGCCATTACTAGATTTTTACTACAATTGCATGTTTGCAATCTGGCAAAAAACCCCAAAACCCTAGAGCACGGATCTTTTAACTGACATCTGGAGTGCAGGTTTTTTTCAGCATCGTTAGCATTTACAGGATAAATGTTTTAACTTCTGGCTGTCACAGTAAATTCATCTTAAGTGCTTGCTTTTTTTTTTTTTTTGCAGTACTAGTGTGATGTAAATATTGCGCCTTACTCACTAGGCTGCATATTTTACAGTTTACTGTGTACTCTCTGTATTGACGTTAAGTGTGAAAGTATAAATCATCATTTTCAATTTGCCAAGTCATTGCCTTTGTTGTAAATAAGCAATTAAAGATTTTATTTAAACTGTTCACCTTCTTTTCATTTCATTTACTGCTACAGTATTTCAAGAGTGTGAATGACACATGAATAGAACTCTCCTCTTCATGGAGGAAGGGGATCTTAAGTACAATTACTAAAAGAGTTGTCGCTTTTGGTATTTTAAGGCTTATACTGAATAGGGAATACTTGTTTGAGCTTACAAAGAATCAAAATCTACTTTTTTATGCTTGGTTCCAGGTATCTTTTTATCCACCTAATAACCATGTTCTAGAAGGATACAACCTGTAAAAGCTCACAGCCTCTAGGGACTTCAGAGCCTACTGTAGCCACTATTAGAAATAATCTGATTTCCTACATGTATACAGGTAAAAATAGTATCTGAAGAATCAGAGCTGCTGGAAGATAAGTACTACTGTGCTCTTGCTTTTCAAAAACCTTATATAGATTTTTATTTTTTAATACTTGGAAGTTAGGTTTGTTCAGTATAAAACTTAGGTAAGGTACAGAGGGGGGCATAGATAGGAAAAGAGCTAGTTAAGTCTCGGTTGCTTCTTTCACAGCATTTCCGAAAAGCTACCACATTATTTTGTTACTGCTCAGTTATTCTGTGCATGGTATTTCTCCTTTTTTTCATTATTCTTTCATTGCTGTAGCTTATAGGATCATACCTTTCCAGGATTATACCTTTCCATTAAAGATTGCTACTGAATTTCAACAATAAATGCAAAATGTTTCAATGATGCCTACCCTCTCTTTTGAAGAGCTACTGCAACAGTATTCCACAGCATGACCTATCACGTTTGTACAAAAAGTTCATTTGCAAGTAGTCCTTTGTATCAACTATATTTGTTCCTCCATTGTTTTATGACTAATCTTCTTTCAGATTTTAATCAGAAGTCTTACTTAACACACTGCTTGAAAACTCAGTAATGGTCATCTTTAGCCCTTCACTTAGTTTCATTAAGGGCAGAATAGGTCCTTAATTTCTCTTTAACTCATTTTGCTGTCTTATTAGTCACTGAAAAGCTTAATAATACGCCTAACCACACTATTACTTACTGGTTTTACTTCTGTCAGAGGTCTTCCAGCCTAAGAAGCCTAAACACTTCTCTATAAAACTGCACTTTGGTGAAACGTTTTATTTGTGTCAGATAGTAGATTAGATTTTACAGATCATGGTTTTGTTTGAGGGGTTGTTACTTTTTTTAAAAAAAAAAACAAAAAACAAAAAACCAAGCTGTTTTCCACGTAGTATGAAAAGCTTCTGTCCTACTCTAATTCACTTACATTATACATTGTATCCCTTGGATAAAGGATAATATCCAGTTATTTTATATCCAGAAATATTTGACTTAATTGTTACCTCTGTTTTGAAAAAACAGAACAAAATGAACAAATGAGAGACCTTTCCTCCACTCTTCTAGATGGAGCTGGCTGGGCCAACCACAGCTCCAAGAGTCCCTGAAATTAAACTGAGAGGGCTACTCTGGAACACCTGACGTAATGAAGAGTACATAGTGGATCTTGCATGCGGTGAGATTCCAGAAAAATTATTATGTGGATGGCTCTTTAACAGGTTCTTGTTAGGAAAGAGGACATAAATGCCTCTTCTACATTTATTTAATAGACAGCACTGTATAAATAAGCTTAGCTACAGAAATACCTTGTTAAGTCTTCCTCATACCTCTAGAGAGGCAGAATTAATGCTAGGTTAGAAGTTTTTATTAGTCTTCCATTTGGATACAAATTTAATAGAAGAACTTCTTATGTGCATTATACCAAACTGTAATGCTGTAGAAGAGATGCAGGAGTACTATGGTGACTGATGGTTGTATTGTATACAACTGTCATAGAGACAAGAGTTCAGGCCCATTATATTATCAGAAGTGATTCTCTGAGGGATTCTAGAAAGTTTACTAGCTTTACATTCCACTCTACCACTTGAGTTAGTCAACAGCACTCCTTTACAATTTTTTGTAATTGCTATGTGCAATGCTAACTTGAGATACCACAACTGGAACAGCGTTACAGTCCCTACTACAAGGCTAACACCTCAACGCTCTTAAGTAGGATGCTTTGGCAACAGAAGTGGAACTACAGTCTGAGAAGCAAGGACTCTATCCCAAGCAGCCACAGCTGTTTATTTGTTCTATGGGTACCCAGACACTTTTTTCTTATTACAGATGTTAGGCAGCAAGAGAAGTCTGTTCCGCTGTTGTAGTCACTGCAATAGCTAACAGTTCGGTTTTGCTGCTGTGCAGATCTCGCCTACCTGCTTGGTAAGATACCCTTATGGTGCACATTATAGTCCATCAGCAGAACCTAAGCATCTCCTACTAAAGAAACAAAATAGCCTTTTTGATTGGTAGATAAAATTTAGACTTTACTATAAATTAACATCAGTGATGCTGTGAACAGTCAATTTATGCATAGGTAATTAACCACAAAACAGTTGACACATGATGTTCTTCACCGTTTAACCGTAATGCTAATATTGCTTTTATGATGTTGAACATCAAGCACAAGTTCATCTCCAACCTGAACTTGGATGGGCTCATCAAGAACAACTGCAGCTTGTTTCCAGTGCGAGGACTCCTCAGATGTATTCAAGCTGTGGTCTTCATCTAGATGGATGTGATACCAGAAGGGAATTGCCGTGACTTGGCCAGACTTACAAACTTTTACCTAAAAATAATTTAAAATACTAATCAGTTAAACTGTTTTCAAAGTAGTAATGAATATAAAGTATTTCAAAATGGATTGAAATGCTTTGAGATACCTGTAAACAAGTAAATTCTGTATGGAAATTTTCAGTGAAGGTGAGCAATTAATGAGCAGCTCTGCAGAACAGCAGTTTAGTGCACTTCCAACTTCATGTATTAACTCACCTTGACTTCTCTGCTGGAGTTGTTCAACAGAGGGTTCATGAGATCTAGCCTTAAAAGCTCTGCTGGCTTGCTTAAGGGTACACACGGTAATGTAGACAGATCCAAATACACACGAACAGGTACCTAAGAGTACACAGCATAACTTCAGGCATCAACAGCCATTAGGAAGTGAAAGTTAAAAGGCTTAATCATTATGTAGAAGTTTTGAGGAATTACTGTAATGCCTCTAAGAGCCAAAATGCAAAATACACCTTTACTAATCCCTTTTGAAATGTTACTATTGGGATACAAGGTGATCAAAGAGACAGTAACAGCACACTCTTCTGTACAGTAGCACTGCATCTTTCACTACCCAGACAAAACTTCTTCCCCAGCAGTTCTAAAAAAACAAACCACCACATTACCCATTTTAGTTTATCTCAATGTCCCTATCTGGTCACATAAACCTCTCAGTAACTTCAACAACATGAAAAAGCTACAGCTCTTCAGTTTTCTTGCTGTTTACGCCAAAATTAAATACCTAGACAGCTGCAGGCTTTAGAACTGTGCTTGGAAGACACCCACCAACTTCATACCTTGAACTGGTTGATAAAAGGGGCTATATTAAACCCAAGAGTTGGCTCTGTTCCTTGAACAGCACTCTCCAGTAACAGAGACTCCGATTGTACAAGCATCCCATACACCAACACATACTGTGGGAAAATCTTCCCTCCACTGTGAAGTAAACATCTGTAAAATGAGAGAGATTTCACCTCTTAAAGCACCTCATTCAACAGTAATGAAAAAAAACCTCCAACATTAACCACATTTAAGAAAAGCACACACTCTTTAAGTGTTTAACTAAAATTGACAGCAATATAGGAGACAGGATTTTTCTTCCCCCAAATAAACACCTGAGCCTTGCTTGGTCTCTTGCTACATGGTATCACCCTGCCCAGAGTACCAAAACAATAGAAGCTTTAATTCATTGTAATATCAAACATTTCCAGTTCAGGGAAGACTGGTTTAGGTTTCCTTTTCCTATAACAGGCCTCTTCTCATAGGAACTGGGTAGTTAGATGGATTTTCATGCCAATAGATTTGAGTCTGCATATGACAAAAGAGCAACTTCCCATTTGTTCTTAGAGAAAAAAAATTTCCAGTCATCTAAAGATTTAGTAAAACCTAAGAAAATGTAATGAACATAAATCATCTGGAATATTCTGCCATCACTAAGCATGAAGATGAACAGAGAAGATTCCCAAGCACCACAGAAGGACTAAAACCTGTTTCACATTATTTATTTTTCTGCCCATTTCATTATTTTATTTCTCCTGCTCCACATTCCTCCCCACTGCTGCTGCTGTAGCTAACAGCTAGCTTTGGTGCTGCCTTCCTGGCTGCTTTAACACCAGACATTTCGTTTTTAGCAATTTTAGTAATACCAGTTTGTTCCAACAGCAGTTTGACACGTACATGAATCTGGGCTTTGCTAACCTCACACTAAAAACTACCACAGTTATTACTAAGATGCTGGCTATCCTGGGAACTTCTGGCAGACCAAGCAATAAGATCTTCTGTTTGTGCTCTTGCATACGATATATAAAGTCTATCAAAGTGAAATCTTGACACTTTTTTTAAAAAAAAAGAGATACATGTATATAAGGGTCACACCAGGACCACTCTGGGAGGTTCGATCTTTGCAGCAAACAAGCTATTCCTGCTCTATAGAACCAAGAAAGCAATAATTTTGTAGTTAGAAGGAATATTTTCAAAAATTTCCAGACAATTACAGATTCCTAGGAATGCTTTCGTCCATTTGTACCATACCTGGATATTGCAGCCTTTTCCATCACCTCCTGCTGGATTAAACCTGATGTCTCTATAACATCCAAGATAATAATACTCCACAATTTGTCTGATTTGGGTCTCTGAAGCACCACATTTTCATCTTCTAAGTGGCTGAGCCAAAACTCCAGTGTTTCCTTCGTGAAATGGTTCGCTTCTGAAATCACACTAAGTGCTGCCTGATGCTGTTTCTTCTCAACAGAACTGTAGGCTCTAACGGGTCCAAGTTTGCCAGCTATAATCGGCAGGATGGAGAAGCCTTCAGATACATCCAAGATGTACAAAGGATCAGGAGCTGCATCTGGAGAGCTCTTGTTTTGACTCTCTTGGAGGTTCATCCCGCTGCCATATCCATCAACATCCATGCCCTGCAAGTCCTTACTTGGATTTAAGGATGACAGCACTTTGCCCATGGCAGCTTTAAAGCATTCATGGTTAGCAGGGCTATTTCTGTGGATTCTAACACACATACTTGACCGTTGCTATCCTGTTCGCTAGTTGTTTGAAGACCAGCCAGAGCATTACATAATTCAGCCTCATTGCCCAAACTCAGCATGTCACCTCTGTCAGTGAAGTCCATCCTGCACTCTGAAATCAGAGAAGAAATCTTCTGGATCTTCAGGTAGCAGTCTTCGCAGCAAGCTTCCATCACCACAGTATCTCCAGTCTTCACAGAATAATCTTGGCAAAACAGCACAAAAAAGTTGTGTCAGTTACTTTCCAGCAACGTCAGTGAAGTTAGCCACACTGTGCTTAAAAAAGAAAAAAAAGGCATCAACTCATTTCTTCAACAGCTGTTACTAATGCACATGAAAGAATTGTTCAAGTCTGTAACCCCTAAGCTGAAATCTGCAATTGCTTGTTAACATTTACTTTAAACTGTCCCACACTAGGAAAAAACATTTATTCTCAGAAGAAGCCTTTCTATGATAAACAGATATGTCAGACTTTAAGCAGAGCAGAATAAAAACATACAGATGAAAAACATACTGTTCTAAGAAAGCAAATCCATGGATACAGAATTTCAGAACAAAACCACTCTAGTTTGACAAACATTTCTTTCAGTGGCAAGGTAAGCTAAAAGACTACCCCAAAGGTCCAGGCCTTACAGCAAGATCTGGATAGCCTAGAGAGGTGGGCAGTCACCTCACGAAATTTACAAAAGCAAATGCTGGATTCTCCACATGTGAGGGAGGACCAGCAATAGGAGGAAAGGGAATGAAGCTGTGTCAGGGAAAATTCAGATTGGACGGAGTGCTGGCACAGGCTGCCCAGAGAGGCTGTGGAGTCTCCTTTTCTGGAGACTTTCAAAACCCGCCTGGACGCGTTCTTTTGTGGCCTACTCCAGGTGAGCCTGCTCTGGCAGGGGGTTGGTCTAGATAATCTCTGGAGATCCCTTCCAACCCCTAACATTCTATAATTCTACGATTACAAAAAGGTTCTGGATCACTGGACTAGGCTCCCCCAGGAAGTGGTTCCATTATCTCCAGAGAAGGAGACTGTACAACCTCTCTGGGCAGCCTGTTCCAGTGCTCTGTCACCCTCACAGTAAGGAATTTTTTCCTCTGGCTTGTGCCCGTTGCCCCTTGCCCTGTCACCGGGTGCTATTGAAACAAGTCTGGCTCTGAAAAGAGCCCAAAAAGGAGGTGGATGAGTAGGTTGGAACATTTAGTTTTGGTTTTGTGGAAATAGCAATTCCTACGCCACCTCCTGCACCTCCCTCTCACATCTTGACTTAGTAGAGCCAGCCAGTAGCCCCACTTCTTGGAGTTGTACCATAATGCATTTAATTCAGTAGAGGAAAAAAATCCCCGACTTAATGAAAATCATCATCCCAGATCTTAAGCAGGCCCCTTATCTGCCTCACAGCAGAGTGCCATGAACAAGCCTTGATGCAGGGACTGTGCACTACAGTCCAGCAACATGATCAGGAACCACCTCACAGTTACTTGCTGTTGCACTTCTAAAGCCATTTGCTGCCACTTGTCCATCTCTGAGATAACCTAATTCGCTAAAAATCAAAATGAAACGAAGTTAAGGTACCACAACAAAAAAATCCACAGAACATACCAAGGAGGCCCTGCACAGGATAGACTGCCTGTTCCCAGCAAGTTTCCTCACTGGGACTTGTAGATAGAGAGTGCTCATCATCAAGCTGTAGTACAAACCACACCACAACAGCATCTAGTGTTCCTCCTTCAGTGACTGTCATGCTGAGCTTCCAGGGCTTTCTAGCTGCAAGGCTTTTCAGCTCCTGACCAAAATGCAAAGAGAGAAAAAGTGTGAGAGTTTCTTTCCATAAATAATGTTTTTTTATTACACTGTGTCATCCAAATTTCTGCACCAATCCGTGATGGCACTCAATAGAAACCTGAAGCGAACAAGCTGCTACAATATTAATTATCATCATTAGTACTCACTAGCGGAAGGAACTGTCTACCCACACGTACATGCCATTATCCACATGACCAACCTGCATCTATCAGCCATTACAAAAAACATGCCTCCATCTAAGAACGTATATATTTAAAAACACTGAAAACTGCAAGAAATGCCTTAGACTGTCAAGGCTTGCCTTATGAGAAATTGTAAAAACAGAACCTGGCTTTTGGGCTGGATTCAAGTCAATGCTTAGGCACATGCTTCACTCAAAACCTGTGTTCAATCAGTTCTAGACATAGCGTATGTAATCACTAAATTTGCTCCAACAGAGACTCAGCAAAATCATTACAAAATTACTAAGTCGAACATCTTTGAGGATATCTGCTCTGTTACCTGGGCTATAGGCTTTGCGTAAAACTTCAGGCATGTACTGGGAAGAGCTAAGATCTCTGCCCTAAATGGATCTAGTTTACAAATTCTCCAATATTCCTTAAAAGCTTTGAATATGTAATAGGAAATTAAGCTGTATTCCACATACAACTTATTTTCCTCAACCATTACCTTCTGCTACCAACATTCACAAACATAAAAGGCCCAGCTCTGACTCAGACAGTTCTGGCATAAACTGGGAGGTCAAGTACAAAGGACCAAAAATTCTCAAAGAAATATATTTGGTATTAAAAATACTGTTCCTGGTTACTTCTCAAAAGCAGCAAGTCCAAGGTTCTCATTCACTGGTTCTAGTAACTGTAGTGTTACATCCCTACCTTATCGCACAGAACACAAAAAACCCACTTGAAGATAGTTATTTCAGCTCTCCCTGCTCTCTACCATGCTGCTTATCCCATATTTATTCCTCATATTTGTCCACTGCATAAACCTTTTTCTGTTATTTACAATTACAGACTCAGACAGCTCTAGCTCATGAGGACAGCAATTTATAAACTACAGTCAAGAGACAGTAAAGAAAATAAAGCAACGAAGTGCACGAACAGGCAATAAAAAAATCAAAGTGATGCAATGTCACATACATCCTCTGAATGAGAAGAAAACTTGCATTAAAAATAAGTAAATAGGACTACAAATAGAAGGAAAAACTACAGAAAGAATGCAGTTAGCAAGTTTCCCATGTCTTGATCCAGAATTTCTCAAATATTCCTCACAGTAACTTCCTATGAAAATTAGAAAGCCAGTATCTGTAATTTCTGGCAAGAGTGTGGTTCCTTTAGGGCCTGAAAGTGAGACTGAGCTTTAATTACTGCCTGCTGAGGTAAACACTCACTTCCACTCCCAGTGGCATTGATCTCCTGCCAGCAAACATGCACACAGGTAGTACCTGGCTGAGTGCAAGTGTCTGCAGCCTGCAATTAGAGCCACTTCTTGTTCTCCTGCCTGGGAGGAACTGAGTTGCTGCTGCTAATAATAATAGCACTAATAAAGCAATCAGCATAACTCAGCTGCCTTTTTTTTTTTTTAAATTGACTTACTATCATCAGTTCTCTGATCTGTATTGATGTTTTCAAACTGATGTCTCAGTGTGAGAAACATAGTTGTGCTGTGTTTTAAGTAGTTTTCACAGTTATGTCATTTTAGGTCTGAAAAGTCAGTGCAAGCACAATAAATGCAATATTCCTCTCATTCTTTGAAATATAAGTTCAGAAAATGGGTCTCTGAAATTACCTTACTAATGCTAAGTGATTTCTTACCTGAATTTCAATCTCAGGTAGGTAATTCTGCTACTGTCTGTAAGTATAGCAGCTTTTTTTTACTCTGATATGAGGACAGACCTTTTTTTTTTTTTTCTTTTTGTACTGCATCAATTAAATATCCAGGTGTGGCCATGACAAAACAAACAAATGGAAGAAACCCAAACACAAAAAACCAAGCAAACAAGACATGTTGAAAGTAACCTACAGGTGTTAGAAACTACCATATTTGCCCAGTGATGAAGTAACAACAAACAGTAACCAATGATTCCAAATACATTAATCAAATTTTTTCTCTTTACCTTTACTTATGTCATCTTACAATTTCAGGACAGGGACACTCTATTAGACTAACTGAAATTTCAGAACCACTCCTTTAAAGAACAGTTTAAAGAACAATATTTTTCTTTACTCATTAAAATTACCTTTACACTTCTGCCAGGAGGCATATGCTTAAGAGCAGGCATCTCTCAGATGAGAGTAATAGTTTCTTATTGATGCTAGATGCAGAAGCAACATGAGGTCACAGAGAGATTGCTCCCAGTAGTACACTGAAGAGCCTTGTCTTATATCATTTTTAATCTCAGGATGTCAGGCAAGCCAGCTAGGAAAACCTATTGATTCAGAAACACTGCGATTTCTGGCCAAGCAGTAGCCAAGAACAATTTCATTTATATAACAGAACCTATTTTAAGTTCTGACTCAAGGGTAACTCCTCACCACAGGTCAATGAGCAAGAAACACATCAGAGATCAGATGTATCATCTTTTTCGTGTGCTCAGCTGCAAGCTGCTGAGGTTTATTTGCCTTACAGTTCAGGCATACAAACATATTTTTGTGCAAAATACATAAAGCAATAGACTTAATCTTAAAGGTCTTTTCCAATCTAAATGATTCTATAATTCTATAAAGTTACCATGTTTTAGAATGTCGTATTACAGAAATACCATAAGATACCAAAGTAGTTGAAGCGCGGAATCAAACTGGCTGAATAGGATAAGATTTCTTCATCTCCCCCTCTTTTACAATTACTCATCAACACTTTCAGACATTTTAATGCCAGGTGTAAAACACATCCTTTGTCTTTTGTCTTCAGAAGTTTCTTGGAGACTCTAGAGGAATAAACTATGTCAGCTCCACTAATGCATAAACCATTTAAGAACAATCTATTATTGCATTTTTCCTCCCTGTTCCTGTACTGAGCCTGGCAGTTGTTTGATCCTATGGTGAACTAGTTCAGTTCCCTAAACTATGCCAAACAAAAAGCTCCACCCTCAAAAACCGATGACTCATCACCATATAACCATACAAGTATCAAAACCAGCAGAGAATTTCAGCACAGTCTTGCCAACTTTGTACTTGTGTTCTGAAATTGAACCCGGAACACAAGTAAGATACTGGGCTCTGATTATTCATAGATTGTTTATAAAGGACATACTGAAAAAAATCATTACCTGCAGATTGTTGAAATCTACTGTCATTATTTGACAGGGTTCTGTCAGAGGTACGTAACCTCCAGGAATACGACTGAGCTTCTCAGTGGTGTAAGGTTCAACAGTTTCCTCTGAACTTGCAGAAGCAGCATATGTTGGACTAAAGAATTGCACTGAATTTGGCAAGTGCACACCAGCAACTTCTTTTGTTCCCACTCTGGGAATAAAGAAAAAAAAAGGAAGAAATAAAACTTCAATTGATTTGACCACAGAAAATTCTTCCCAGGCTGGCTAAGTATTTTTAAATGCACAGAGTGTAAGAACAGAAAAAAAACAAACAAAAAATAACAATTCTATTGGGTACTGGATATGTCCAGAGCAGCTCTAAAGCACAGAAAATGCACCTCGCTTTCAAGAATCAAACTGAATGTTGTCACTAGAAACTGAGAAAAAGCCCAGTATGTCCTTTGGGGAAGGCCACAGACTTTGCCCACTCTTAAGTATAACTTTGAGTCGTGATAGAGAACTAGAAAGAATACCCCAGGATAATCACAGAATCATCTAGACTGAAAAAGACTTTTGAGATCATCGAGTCCAACCATTAACCTAGCACTGACAAGTTCCTGAATAAAACACATCCTTATGCGCTATCACTACAAGACTCCTAAATAGCTCCAGGGATGGTGACTCCACCACTATTGTGGGCAACCCGTTCCAATGTCTAATAATCCCTCTAGTAAAGAAATTCTTCCTAATATCCAATCTAAGCCTCCCTTGGCACAACTTGAGGCCATTTCCTCTTGTACTATTATCACCGGTTACTCAGCTGAACAGATCCATCCCCACCTCTCTACAACCTCCTTTAAGGTAGTTGGACAGAGCGATAAGGTCTCCTCTCAATCTCCTTTTATTCAGGCTAAACAACCCCAGTTCCTTCAGCTGCTCCTCATAAGACTTGTGCTCTAGACTCTTCAGTTTTGTTCCCCTTCTTTGGACATGCTCAAGCACCTCAACATCCTTGTAATTAGGAGCCCAAAACTGAACACACATGGTGCAGACAAGTACAGATGTAAAATCACTTCCAGTGCCAAGTACAGGCTTAAAATCACTTCCCTGCTCCTGCTGGCCATACTATTCCTGACACAGGCCAAGATATCACTGGCCTTCTTGGCCACCTGGGCACACTGCTGGCTCATCTTCAGCTGACTCTTGACCAACAGCCCCAGGTCCTTCTCTGCCTGGCAGCTCTCCAGCCACTCCTCCCCCAAGTCTGTAGCGCTGTCAGGGGTTGTTGTAGTCAAAGTGCAGAAACCAGCGTTTGGCCTATTGAAACTCAAACAATTGGCCTTGGCCCATTGACCTAGTCTGCTCAGATTCCTCTGAAGAGCCTCCCTCCTCCTCAAGCAAACACTTGCACACAGCTTGGAAGTAAGAACAAATAGAGCTTTTCTGCTGCTGCATTAGTCAGATGATGAAGGTGGTTCAGGTTAACAGAATAGTCAGAACAAAGACAGACAGATAGGTATGCAATAGGAAAATCCACTTTTGGAGCCTCTCACATAAAACATTCATTTTGCAGAAGCTTTATTTATCAAGAACAATCTATGTGTAATAAGGTATTTTTCATAGTTACACAGCTGCAAAGAAAGTCTCAAAAGCATTGATTTCTTGGTGGAAAAAGGCTTTGACAACTTTGAATGCATATATCCTCTCTTACAAGACAGACGATCAACTAGGTTTCTAGAAGTAACCTTATATGAAAAGCTTCAAAGAAAAAAAGAATGCTCTAACTGCTTTAAAACAAATACATACCTCATCCATCTCATACGTTTGAGGACTTAAGATATATTCTCATTTTCATAGTACAAGTCGGGAAGCTACACTTTAGATTATTCTGAAAGGGTTCATTTGTCTGTAAAAAACCTAGTGCTTCCCATTTAAGTGACAGCTATCAAGCAAATCCACATTCTTATGGTGAGATCTAGCACTAGAAGTTCAAATGACAACTAGTTAAATTTCTGCTTCTAGAATTATTTTTAACTTTGAATCACCTTCTCAGGAACCTTCCCCTCCTTGCAGATCTCCCTAAAACTAAGTAAGACTAGACACAGTGTATAATATTCTCATCAGTCATTTCTTTGAAGCTCCCAACTGCAGAACTAAGCTGCCTTTTGTTGTAACCTGGATTCTTAGAAAAATGTATTTTTAACCATTACACATACATAGCTAAAATACAAAAATAAATCAAGTTTGGAGCAGATTCCCTAGCAATAAGAGTATATGTGACATAGAAAGCACAAGTTAGTAAGCACTTCACAAGTACTAAAAAAGCACAGCAACATTATCAACAATCTTCTCACCTGCTCAGTGAAGTAACTTAGTTTAACAATAAGGATGAGAATGTATTCTCCTTTGTGTGAAACTGAATCCATGTATTATTTTAAAAGATATACTACAACTAAAATGGAACAGCTCCTGTATGAGGCATATGTTGTGGAAGAAGTCAGCAGATTGTTATATTTTCACAGAATTGTTTAGGCTGGACCTTTAAGATCACAGAGTTCAACCATTAACCTAGCAATGCCAAATCCACCACTGAACTATGTTCCTAAGTGCCACATCTACACTTAAATACCTCCAGGGATGATGACTCAACCATTTCCCTGGGCAGCTCGTTCCAATCCTTGACAACTCTGAACAATTTTTTTCCTAATATCCAGTCTAAACCTCCTCTGGCACAACTTCAGGCAGTTTTCTCTTGTCCTACCACTTTTTACCTGGGAGAAGAAACTGACCCCCACCTCACTGCAACCTCCTTTCAGGTAGCTGTGGAGAGCAGTAAGGTCTCCCCTCAATCTCTTTTTCTCCAGGCTAAAAAACCCCAGTTCCTGCAGCTGGTCCTCATAATGCTCTTCACTAAGACCCTTCACTAGCTTTGTTGCCCTTCAATACAGGAGCACAGAAGTACAGACACTTAATTGCCTCTCCCTCTGGAGTCTGACTAAAAATTTAACATTACAAAAACCCAAAGTCTGTCATTCTTATAAGTGACTTAAGTTAGCACATTAACCCATATTCTGGCATATTTTATTCAAAATTACTAAATGCAGATTCACTAATGTTACAGACATGTATATAATTAACTTGTGGCAATAATTTCAGTCCTGCTAGCCAGCAGACCTTAAGATATATTGGTAGAATGGATTGCTGATTGATCAATCCAAAGTTATAGTACATTAACTTTCATCCTGTCTAAACTTTGTAAGGAACAGTCAATGCCATGTTTCAAGGCAAATTTTCTAATTGATGAATAACTAAAAGTTCTTCTATGCCCATCTACCATGAGAACTTCATCTCCCTCTGGCTGTTGTCCAGGTCTACTTCATTAGCAAAAACCATTGACACAGCCTGGTTACACTTCATCCAGTACACTGAAGCTCCTGTACAAGTTAGTGCTTTCTTTAATCTGCAACAAGATTAACCCAAAACAAAATATATCAAGTCCAAACCTTTCAGACAGACTGCCCCCATACAGTGATACTATTTAAGAAGATGAGAATAAAAATGAATATCAAAGTAATTGATACGCAGTCAGAACTTGTCTCAGTAAAGAAATCCTACTGTATGTTAGTTGAGAATCAGGCGAGGCACATTCAGCAAAATAATGCTAGGTGGAGTTATTAACACTTCGGCTTTACAAAATCCTGTCCTTTACAAAATCCTGTTCCTCATCCAGCAGCAAGGCATGGAGTATATTATAAAGAGGGTAAAACAAGGATAAAGTTTAAGCATTAATCCAAGAAAATCCAATAGAGAAATGAAGAAGTAATTTTACTATTAAGGAATTAAATTTCTTTCATATGTGTTGAAGGTATGTATTTCACCATAACTCAAAATAAAGAGTTTCTGACAAAGTCATCCAGACAGTCTGAACCACAAGGCAGGAGGGAGAAAAGCCTTAAAAAAGGGTGGGGAGGATGAGAGCAGAAATCTGTTTAGTGAAACAGATAATCAGTTATTCAAAAACTACAGATAACAGTAAATGAAAAATTCTCAACAAGCGCCACTAGTCTCCCCTCAAATCACAAATATGGGTTCAAACTGTGATAGAGGTTATACATACCTGTGATGTCTACGTATCTCTTTGCATTCCACTGCCATCCCAAATATTGTAGCACTTGCGGGAATAACTCTGCCATAGTCTCCAGCACTGGTATCTTGATTTTTAGGCTGTGAAAACACAAATAACATGCAATGAGACAGTGACCTAATTCTACCATTACTGCAAAGCCTAGGTTACATATTAATAAAGCCATTCAAGATCACACTTGAACAACAGCAAGTTCTCAGTGACTAGTAAAGTTTCTGGTCTTTGTCATTCCAGTTGACCATTAAAGAAGTTCCTTAAATATCGTCATTTAATATATCCATGCATCAGCTTTACTTTTCAGTCTACTCCTGCTTCTGTAGAAATCTAAAAGCACTTTTAATTTGTATTCTGTTAGAATATATTGAAACACTGGAGGCCCTTGCCTTTATGCATCATACCTATACTTAACACTAGGGGTCATCAGCTTCAGTTCTGTACAGTACAAAAGCTTTCAGCCAGGTAAGACTTTTTAATTAGCTGAATCAATATCACATCAAGTTAAAAGAGAATTCCTTAGGTCATAAGACCTAAGAGAAGTTAACCTATGTAAGACGACTCATCGTATTACTTTGCTTAACATATGATAGCTAAAATGCAAAATACCAAGTAAAATCTGAGACGCGGTGGAATCGTTCAACTTTCCAAAAAAGGTCAAAGTTAGCAAAAATAAAGAGTATAATCATATGGCGTATTTACTAAATTGTAACTGACTGTTCTCTAGTGTTATGATGAGAAAGATATTCTACCATAATCCAGCATTTCTGCTGGCAAAAAAAAAAGAGGGATAAGAGAAAGGAATGAACAGTGATTGGGACTGACAATAGTGATCCATCTCTGTATGACCGAAGGTTACATCACGGCAACATCCATTGCAAGTACCTGTCTATGGAGAACACGAGCTCACAGAAGTACAATATACGCATCTGCCTCATTCCCTTTCACCAAAATCAAATTCATAGAACAAACAACTCAAATAAATTATTTTTGAAGTATCAACAGGTATGAAATATTTAAAAGACAGTTGTTCCTCATTCATGTATGTCTGTGAATATGTGCACACACACACATATATATAAGCATGCATACATATCAAAACCCAGGAATCCCATTTACACCTATGTTCCCACACCACTTACCTTTGGTTGTAAAAGCAGATGCTCCCAAGCATGTATCAAGCTCTCCACAATCCCTTCTCCAAATAAACCAGCATCAACTGTTTCTGTGACAACCAAGGAAACTCTAGATAAGAAAATGAACACCATGAAATATAATGTGTAAGGCACATTACTGTTACAATCACTCTTTTAAAAACACAACACACCAATGCAAGCTCAGAGCATAAATTTTACCAGTGTTCTGAGTTTCAATACAGATGGGCAATTTAATTCTTCCAACAAATAACGTTTGGAACTTTTGTTAAAAGTTAATCAAGATGCAGATAAAGAATAAATATCGAGTAACAGTTTACCACTAAGCTTCTTGTTCAGTATTTAGCTATAATTTGTGTGCGAAGAATCTAGCCACAACAGGAAGATGTTTCAGCCTGGGCACGCAGCCAATGACACTGCAGAACATGTATTCTGTTTGAATCTTGTGCAAGAGTATGCATCCATACGTGTGTGTTAAAAAGGAATTTAAAAAAAAACACACCAAAAACTATAATCAAAGCACAGTAAAATGTCTACACAGACTAATGAACCCTAAAATCCCAAATCCTTTGGATTTAAACCAAAAAAAATGTACAGTCTAAGACATTTCCAAACTATTAACAATTTATTCCCAACAGGTGACATCCAGTAACTCATAATATGCACTAAGATCAGTTACTGTAGCTCAGCTGACACAGTGTAATGGCACATACCCCAAAGCTCCCACCAGCAAAGAATTAAACTCTTTAATCTATGACACTGTTAATCTACCATAGAAATTAGTATGTTATCATTTCCGTACCACTCTATAAAAACATCAAACATACAGAGAACCTTCTCATATTATGGGTAATATCATAGGCAAAGCTACTTCTTGTTCAGGTCATAGGGTATTTTCTATTTTCTTGAAATTAAGAGCAAATCAAAATCAATACCACAACACAGCAGAACAACGTACCGTTTGGGTATGTGCTTTGGAATTTCTATATCAAGCGACTTCAGATGCAGAAGTTTGATCTCGCCTTCCATATTATTTGCTGCCACCACATCACAGGCAAGTTCATACATGGTTTTTGATAATTCACAGGCATAGACAAAAGATGCTCCTGCCTTTTTTGCAAACATACTGAAAAACAAGAATTAGGACTTTTCCCAAACATTTTAAATCATTTTAGGTAAAGCATGACAAGATACTAAGTTTTCTTAAATTCTATTTTCACATCTGCTTTATGTTTCTAAAGAAAGCAGTTCAAGTCAAAACCCACCATTAAGTCAACCAGTATCTCTTGTGTGAATACTGGTATCAACCAAATTGCTATCCTCTTGATATGCTATCACTAAAAAAAATAAACATAGGTAGCATAAGGATACTTCCCCAGCTATGCTAACTCCACTCTTGATGCTACTAAAAATATTTAAAGTCAGAATACATGACATTACACCTCCAAAATCAACAATGTAATTCAATTTATACAGCAGTTATTGGCACAAAAAGCATCTGCAACAAGTAATTAAAAAAGGGTTCCAAAATACTATTAGACACTAACCTCCAGACTCACTGACTTTTGAGTACTTTTCTTCCTTTCTCAAGTTTTGTTTCAATAAATGCATGAAAGTAAATTATTTTTTTCACTAGCAAGTAAATTTTGTTAGCCAAAAGATACTTTTTCTACTAGGTTCATTTTAAATATGCACTTAGAACACACCTCAAAATTCCCGTTCCTGTTCCAATATCAAGGACAGATTTGCACCCTGAGCAGACAGCATTCTCAATTGCCTTTAGGTAAGTTAGGTTCCTCTTGGTATCGTTAAGCATGATGAAGTGCCATCGTTCCACGAGCCAGTTTGCAACGCGGTAAAAGTTCTCCTTTGCATCAGCAAAGTCTGGGTTAAGCTTCACTGCTTTATGAAAATATCCAGCTGCTTCATCTCTAAAGCCCATCCTAATAGCAAAAATGACAGAAAGCATGTGGTTCAGCTGCCAAGTATCTGTAAACATCCGTGGGTCTGTAAAGAGGTCTTAGATCAATTATAAGACAATAGAAATACTTTGCATTAGTTAGAATGATTATCTCCAGCAACACTCTTACTATCTTATGAAGAATGATTTGCAGCTCTGTATCAAATCAATCGAAAACACAAAGATAGTCCAAAAATACTGTTGTGTGCAGTCTTCATCCACTACTACACCCTTTAAACAAACTAGAACAAGTTTGACAAGAACTTGCTGCAACAATATGACAACAGCAACTCTGAAATTCAGTCTCACATTTTCAAGGGAAGAGAATGCTACAAACCCTAAAACGACTTTACCATATTTAACTGGAACATACTGTAAACCAATCAAATTTTGAGTTGCCAGCGCTCTCATTAAGTGGCAAATCTGAAAATAAGTCGTGAGCTCGAATCAAGTTTTTACAATACCTGTAGGATACTCTGAAATCAGAGAGCATTGAAAAAACCAAAAAACCTGTGAAATGCAAAAATATTTTAATACAATGCTTGGAAAGTTGTTCCTTAAAACAAACGAAATAATCACAAAAAGCAAGCCTAATTAAAACCATCTGGATCTACAACCTATGATTTCAATCGTAAAATCCCAGCCTCAGAAGACCTTAGAACCCTGAGCAACAGCAAAGCACCACGTATTGCACTGTCTGAAGAAAGCAGGAAAAGAATACTTTACACTAGTAAATAAAAGTAGAAGATCAAACTATTTAAAAACAGGTCTACACAGTTTGGTATACTTGACCAGCTTCTTAAAGCACTGTTGCATGTGACCTAAAGAAGGACCAGAATTGGAAGACAGTATTCAAAGGCAATACTTCTACGGAATCTAACTGAAAAGGAAGAAAGTACTTAAAAATTATAGGTTAAACACAACAACTGTTAACACAGTGACTGAACAGTTTTGGTCTCTTTTTTGTTTAGTAAATCCTTAATAAACTCATAGAAAATATTTGAAGGCGGTGCTTTTACTTTTAAGTTTTTACTTTACTAAGAGTGCTTTTTTTTTCACTTTAGCTGTGACATTTATTTTAGCATTGGCTACTCTGTTTTAAGCTGACAAACACACCTGAAGTTCAACAGTAAACACTATAGAGCATTTAAGCACATTCTTTTAAGCATATTTTATGCACTTTGTTGAACTGGGCCTTGTTTATTTACACACAATACTAAATGTCAGCCTTACAGAAACTGAATACAAATTACTACAAACCTGAAAAGATGTTCTCCCATACTATTACATATCACTTCGTCATTTGGATACAGTTCAAGTGCTTGTTCGTAACAGTTAAACAGATCTTGTATCCGTGACAGAGAATCTAGCTCTTCTGCCCACTTGAAGAGTGTAAACTGAAATGTTTCCTAGAAAATAAAACACACACCACTGAGTTGCTGATAGTTACCAGAAGTAGGAAGCTGAGCCCTGATAACATCTAGAGGTATCCTGACACACACCCCAACACCCTCATTTCCCTAAACAGCAGCATGCAACCGTTTGCTATCAGCTCAAGCAAATTGGCTCACTTGAAACAACAGAAATAAGCTCTCAGGTATCCAAACAGAGTATCATTACCCAGCAGTGAGAGCCTCCATACATAATAACACATGCTACGCTACGAGCTGATACTATCAAAGGTCTATTTTAATTGAACTTAGTTGACACGCAGAGAGTAAAACAGAGGCATATCAATTTCCCTCCCACAGACATACAGAGCTTATTAAACAAGTTACCAGCTGTCTCCATTATTACTATTTCCCATTTTTATTTTGAAGACTGAATAGGAAAGTCAGTTTCAATACAACAAATCACAAACACAAAACACCTTACAAAGCCTTAAGAGGAATACAGTAAATAAAATTGTTTCAAGTCATTCAAAAAGCACTTACTTTAACGCTAGTTTTTAACTCAGGAGCTAGATTAAGTACCAAGAGATAGTGAGCATATGCAGTTCCAAAATCTTGGTCTTCCAGGCAATGCTGAGCACTCTGCAAAGACCTAGAAACCAATTCCCGCCTGCTGGCTTCCCGACCACCTCTATGGTTACAATTAATTTTAGCACTGGAGTTGGGCATTTTGAAGAATGCAAATACTCGCTGTTCCTAATAGAGGGGGGAAAAAAAAGAAAAAAAGCTGTGTATACTGCAGACCAAAAGGGTTGCACACAAAGCTGATATATCAAAAAACATTATAATTTTCACTGACATTAGCAAAGATTTCTTTCGCTCCCTCAAATCCTAAACATTCAAAACCAGCTTCATCTTTATGCTACTGATAATTGCACCAACTTTAAAATGAATGTTAACCATTCAAAAATCAAACACGCATCACATTTATGTTTGACCAGGTCCTGGGAGCAGGTTACACCCCCCTGCCTTTTAAAAGTAAATTTTGTAATATGTGCTTTAGGGTGCCTCTGACCAAACAGAGGCACAGTGAAAGCTCACAGTCTCTTAAGTTTCATGAACAACCACAAAAAATACAGGTTAAAGCTCTTCTACTTCAGCAACAGGAAATACTCCTACACAAAGAGCTAACGAGTCCAGATTTTATTCTACACAAAGCAACCTAACTGTTCTCCCACTTCAGAAAACGTTTAAAGAGCTAAGAGAACCACACGCACGCTTTATGACCACCCTGGGTTACCCCTGGAACTTTTAGGGGTTACTTACAAGACAGGGCCTAACGTCACCCTCAGGATTCTCAGGTGTGTCCCAGGAGCCGAAGAAAGCGATCGTTACATCGAGAGGGGCTGCAAGAAACACAGCACCATCACAATTAGGCTTTTTCTTAAACAAAGCACCAAACAAACACGGGCCACGTCTCGGGTGAGCCGCAGGCACGCAGGGCCAGGCAAGAGCCGGACAAGCGCGCCCGCCAGGCGGATCTGGGGGCCCGGGGGCAGACAGCGAACGAGGGGGCC